AACATCGCCCCACAGCTCGGCCAAGACTCCGTTGAGAAGACTGGCAAACATCGCCCCACAGCTCGGCCAAGACTCCGTTGAGAAGACTGGCAAACATCGCCCTGATCGCTCGGCCAAGACTCCGTTGAGCAGACTGGCAAACATCGCCCTGATCGCTCGGCCAAGACTCCGTTGAGAAGACTGGCAAACATCGCCCTGATCGCTCGGCCAAGACTCCGTTGAGAAGACTGGCAAACATCGCCCTGATCGCTCGGCCAAGTAGTCTCTTTAGGGATGGGAGGGAATGAAGGCGACTGAATTTATATCAAAAACTTAAATTCACCGTTACCCCTTAAGAAGAGTGCAGCGTACAGGTAAAGAAAGTGTGAGGTAGGGGTGACAGAGTGCTACACTCTCCTGGCAGCCCTCACACTCCCTCACAAGCATTCTCACACACTACCACACTCAGGTGTACAAGGTAGCACGGGTACTTTACCAGCTCCAGTAGACGGCAAGGCAAAGATTTTGTGCACAAATATAATTCCTAGTTACCGGCGTTTCTAGCACTGTTATTAGTTATCAACTAAATAATTAATAAGTTATATAAAAAATTATTTATATATACAAGAGTTCTTACATTCTTGTACAGCCACTAGCACGCGAAGCGTTTCGGGCAGGTCCTTAATCCTATGTTCCCTGGAATACGACCCCGCCAAATCGTTTAACAACCAGGTACCCATTTTACTGTTGGATAAACAGAGGCGACATTAAAAAATTGACGCCTAGTAAATTCTCCCTGGCCAGGATACGAACCCAGAATAAAGCGCTCGCGAAACTCCAGGCGAATGCCTTACCACTACACCATGAGGACTGATATTGCTTCATCATAGAGGACGGCAGCTTGTGAGTTTAATGTCAGCCAGCAGCAGGATAAACGCTGGATAAGTCAGCCGGGAAGATAAAGACGGGCTGCAGCAAGCTGTGAAGGTCAGATTGTGGAGGTCAGTGATAACGCGCGTTCAAGTCCCAGATATAATGACCGACTGTGTGTACACAGTGGGGCCGTGACCCCCAGGGTGTAGCGTTGGTCTTATGACCAGTACACTGTGGGGCCGTGACCCCCAGGGTGTAGCGTTGGTCTTATGACTGTGTGTACACTGTGGGACCGTGACCCCCAGGGTGTAGCGTTGGTCTTATGACCAGTACACTGTGGGACCGTGACCCCCAGGGTGTAGCGTTGGTCTTATGACCAGTACACTGTGGGGCCGTGACCCCCAGGGTGTAGCCTGTAGCGTTGGTCTTATGACTAGTACACTGTGGGACCGTGACCCCCAGGGTGTAGCGTTGGTCTTATGACCAGTACACTGTGGGGCCGTGACCCCCAGGGTGTAGCGTTGGTCTTATGACCAGTACACTGTGGGACCGTGACCCCCAGGGTGTAGCCTGTAGCGTTGGTCTTATGACCAGTACACTGTGGGGCTGTGACCCCCAGGGTGTAGCGTTGGTCTTATGACCAGTACACTGTGGGACCGTGACCCCCAGGGTGTAGCGTTGGTCTTATGACCAGTACACTGTGGGACCGTGACCCCCAGGGTGTAGCGTTGGTCTTATGACCAGTACACTGTGGGACCGTGACCCCCAGGGTGTAGCGTTGGTCTTATGACCAGTACACTGTGGGACCGTGACCCCCAGGGTGTAGCGTTGGTCTTATGACCAGTACACTGTGGGACCGTGACCCCCAGGGTGCAGCGTTGGTCTTATGACCAGTACACTGTGGGACCGTGACCCCCAGGGTGTAGCGTTGGTCTTATGACCAGTACACTGTGGGGCCGTGACCCCCAGGGTGTAGCCTGTAGCGTTGGTCTTATGACCAGTACACTGTGGGGCCGTGACCCCCAGGGTGTAGCGTTGGTCTTATGACCAGTACACTGTGGGACCGTGACCCCCAGGGTGTAGCGTTGGTCTTATGACCAGTACACTGTGGGACCGTGACCCCCAGGGTGTAGCGTTGGTCTTATGACCAGTACACTGTGGGACCGTGACCCCCAGGGTGTAGCGTTGGTCTTATGACCAGTACATTGTGGGACCGTGACCCCCAGGGTGTAGCGTTGGTCTTATGACCAGTACACTGTGGGACCGTGACCCCCAGGGTGTAGCGTTGGTCTTATGACCAGTACACTGTGGGACCATGACCCCCAGGGTGTAGCGTTGGTCTTATGACCAGTACACTGTGGGGCCGTGACCCCCAGGGTGTAGCCTGTAGCGTTGGTCTTATGACCAGTACACCGTGGGCCGTGACCCCCAGGGTGTAGCCTGTAGCGTTGGTCTTATGACCAGTACACCGTGGGCCGTGACACCCAGGGTGTAGCCTCCATGTATATCTAAGAGTATTACCGAACTCCATGTATACATATATTGGCATTTATGTTCATTGTATGAATATTTATGTATTATATAATGAAATTATGTATTTATATTTTTACCATATACAACTGCCAAGCATGATTTTCAGCACAACAAAATGCCTGTTTTTTCCCGACGTGTGGCTGGGAGAAGGATTAGAAGCGAGCCTTCTGATTGTCTATCCTCGCCGCATCTCCGAATGTATATCTGATTGTCTATCCTCGTCGCATCTCCGAATGTACATCTGATTGTCTATCCTCGTCGCATCTCCGAATGTACATCTGATTGTCTATCCTCGTCGCATCTCCGAATGTACATCCGATTGTCTATCCTCGTCGCATCTCCGAATGTACATCTGATTGTCTATCCTCGTCGCATCTCCGAATGTATATCTGATTGTCTATCCTCGCCGCATCTCCGAATGTATATCTGATTGTCTATCCTCGTCGCATCTCCGAATGTACATCTGATTGTCTATCCTCGTCGCATCTCCGAATGTATATCTGATTGTCTATCCTCGCCGCATCTCCGAATGTATATCTGATTGTCTATCCTCGTCGCATCTCCGAATGTACATCTGATTGTCTATCCTCGTCGCATCTACGAATGTACATCCGATTGTCTATCCTCGTCGCATCTCCGAATGTACATCTGATTGTCTATCCTCGTCGCATCACCGAATGTACATCTGATTGTCTATCCTCGTCGCATCACCGAATGTACATCTGATTGTCTATCCTCGTCGCATCACCGAATGTACATAACTTGCAGGAGCTGCCCCACTTAGCGATCCCTGTAAATAATCTCAGGTTTGACTACACAGCCTTCTGTTAGCGGCTCCATTTACTCTATTCTCAACACCTCAAGTCTCATACTCTATGTCCTGTTTTGGTAAGAGAACCCGTCAGACTTCCTCCCAAGTGTCTAAATAAAGCCCCTCCACGTCTCCTCCTCCTCCTCCTCCTCTTCCCTGCTTCCTCCTTCGCGTCTCCCTCCTCCTCCAAGACCTCTTACCTGGCTCCAAACGACTTGATTGTCAGCTCTTATTGCCTTGTCGCAATCACCTTGCTGTGCTGTGATTGGCTTACTTGTCAGCAGTTGCGAATTCCCTCTTCCACACCCCTCTTCTTCGGCCCAGCAGCCCCTTCCCTGAGAACCTTTCTTACAAGGTCGGTCTCTCTCTCTCTCTCTCTCTCTCTCTCTCTCTCTCTCTCTCTCTCTCCTCTGTCTCTGTCTCTGTCTCTCTCTCTCTCTCTCTCTCTCTCTCTCTCTCTCTCTCTCTCTCTCTCTCTCTCTCTCTCTCTCTCTCCCTCTGTCTCTGTCTCTGTCTCTGTCTCTCTCTCGTGGTGACCCAGCCTCAGGAACATCAGCTAGCAGCTTCACCAAGACATAAATTGGTACACAATACAATATCCCACACAGACTACGTCGGTCGGATGATAAAAGGAGAAGAGAGATACATATATAACAGATACAACAGAGAAGAGACCTTAATATATCTGCGAGAAAAATTAAAAGGGGACATTAAACATAATTGTCGAAGGGTGAGGAGAGCCTCCTCTTGTAAGTCAAAGAGAGTGGAGTGTGTGGAGAGAGCTGTCTGCTGTGTCATTGGTAGTGGAAGCAGAGCTCTCTTGTTTTCTCTATCCTGCCTTCCACTGTGGATAGAGGAAGTGTAGCAGCAGCAGCACTGTAAGCAGTCAGGGCTCCCTGCAGATAACTGATTTCTATTTTTAGAAATCAGATTTCAACGTATTCCATGATCTGCGTTCCCATTCTCTCTCTCAGCATCCCTCCCACTCTCTCTTCCAGCCTCCCTCCCACTACCTCCCATCTTCTCCCTCTCCCTCTTTCACCCACTCATAATAACACAAACTTTTGCATCATATCATTCCGGCATCCTAACTTTGCCTCAGAAAGCGAATCAAGCAGTCACTTTCTTCGTCTTCCCCCTCCCCCCAATACTACGTCCCCCCCCCCCCTGCGCGCAATCGTTGTATTGCATAGAAATAAAGATTTTACATCTGGGTCATGACATGACTGCCCGTCTTTCCTTGCTTGCCTGTCTGCATGCTTACCTACGTGCTTGCCTGTGTCTGCTTGCCGGCCTGCCTCCATCTCTCTCTCTCTCTTTGTGTCTGTATATCTGCTTTCCTGCGTCTGCCTGCCTGCCTGCCTGAAAGCCTACTTGTTCGTTTATTAACCAGCCAGCCTGCCAGCCTGCCAGCCAGCCAGCCAGCCTGCCAGCCAGCCAGCCAGCCAGCCAGCCAGCCAGCCTGCCAGCCAGCCAGCCTGCCAGCCAGCCTGCCAGCCAGCCAGCCAGCCTGCCAGCCAGCCAGCCAGCCTGTCAGCCTGCCAGCCAGCCAGCCAGCCAGCCAGCCAGCCAGCCAGCCTGCCAGCCTGCCAGCCAGCCAGCCAGCCAGCCAGCCAGCCAGCCTGCCAGCCTGCCAGCCAGCCAGCCAGCCAGCCAGCCTGCCAGCCTGCCAGCCAGCCAGCCAGCCAGGGACAAGTAACCGCTGCTACAAAGCTAGTTAGCTACACGTACAGTCCCAGCGTCATACAATGTCCAGGATACTTGAACTGTTTATATTTATTTGACAATAATTGTTGAACCTTACCAGAATATAGCCGAAGAGGTTCCGGTGTAGGCCTCCTTCATTCCTCCAGGTAGCTGCCATCTGCTGTGCCTTCCACTGCCACCTCTCGCTGCTTCTCAATCAAATTATAAACCACGAGATGGATTGGCGTACCAGGCAGGTCCGTGTCCCGCCGGCGACAACTTCCCACTACCAACAGTTTGGCATCTCGCGGGGCAGGCAGTAACCTCCGTCGGCTTCCACCGGGGCAGCCAGTAACCTCCGTCGGCTTCTACCGGGGCAGCCAGTAACCTCCGTCGGCTTCCACCGGGGCAGGCAGTAACCTCCGTCGGCTTCCACCGGGGCAGCCAGTAACCTCCGTCGGCTTCCACCGGGGCAGCCAGTAACCTCCGTCGGCTTCCACCGAGCAGCCAATAACCTCCGTCGGCTTCCACCGGGGTAGCCAGTAACCTCCGTCGGCTTCCACCGAGCAGCCAGTAACCTCCGTCGGCTTCCACCGAGCAGCCAGTAACCTCCGTCGGCTTCCACCGAGCAGCCAGTAACCTCCGTCGGCTTCCACCGAGCAGCCAGTAACCTCCGTCGGCTTCCACCGAGCAGCCAGTAACCTCCGTCGGCTTCCACCGGGGCAATTTAGTGTTTGCCTTCAACCTTACAGCAATACCCAACCAGATCCTGCTCAGTCTTCAGACTTACATTTATGAGAGCGGTGTGATGTTGGTCAGATGGGTACGGCACCTGGACGGGACTTGAGAGCCCCAGCCAGAGTGCTCTGGATTTGAAGGCTGTCCGCAACACCATATATTCTGCCGTCTGTGATGCCTGAGGGAAGGTTGGAGACGTGATCACCCTACACGAACATATATAATGTTGCACGCTGCAACATCCAGTCAGCGAGCCTCGATCTAACACTCACACTTAAGCACAACTGTTGACAACACAATAGTTCGTCGGTCCAGCAGGACCGAAACGTCGGCGTCCCATGCACATGTTTTACTGTGTATGGGGCAAGTAACAAAGTCAGTAGACTAACAGATGTTGTCACAGCTCGTATAAGACTTGGCTACAAGTATCTCTGGCAGATCGGCTTGTATAGGGATGTAGATGAAGTAAAGTGTAAAGTGTGTGGACAAAGACAGGGACACACACTCGAACACTATATCTTGGATTGTAGTAAAATTGAGCCATTTAGAGATGAATCTAAGCTCACTCTGTATGATATGGCAACCTATCTTATTACCATGGATAAATTACCTGCAATCCTTGCACTGTATCCACATTTCGCTTCCAGTAGATGAACGACATATGAGATTCAGAAACAAGTAGTGTATTGTGAGGACTAATAATAAACAGAAGCTCCCCTATGACTCTGTAATATCCCAATTGGCCAAACTATTATGTATTAGCGATAAGACCTACCATTAATTAATGATGACTTACTGTAAATATATAGCTCTTGAAATAGCACTTTCTCTGTAACTAGCTGACATTGTAACTATAAGGTGTGAAGGATAGATGAAATTGTTTATGTAATAATCTAAGATGAGGTCTGATAAAGACCTTTTGTGCCCTCTGTAATGCTTTTGCGCTACCGCTCACAGGATGAGTATGGGGTGCACAATAAACTAGCCACCTTCGGCGGCAACAATCAATCAAATCGTCGTCTCTTCACCTTCTAGTGTGTGGTCTGGTCAACATACTTCAGCCACGTTATTGTGACTCCTCGCCTGCAGAGAGGAGCACTCTAGCCCTGGCTGGTGGACACAGGTAGAGGCTCAGGGCTGTCCGACTGAGATGACACACCTATTGGTTGATGCTGGTGAACCTTGGCTACCATCCCCGTGGTTGAGGCCCTCACCATCACCTGACTGCCCACCCTTGTCAACCGGGGTGGGTGGTAACAGTACAACGTGAAGCTCATGTTCACCATGTAGGGAGCCGGTCGGCCGAGCGGACAGCACGCTGGACTTGTGATCCTCTGGTCCTGGGTTCGATCCCAGGCGCCGGCGAGAAACAATGGGCAGAGTTTCTTTCACCCTATGCCCCTGTTACCTAGCAGTAAAATAGGAACCTGGGTGTTAGTCAGCTGTCACGGGCTGCTTCCTGGGGGTGGAGGCCTGGTCGAGGACCGGGCCGCGGGGACACTAAAAGCCCCGAAATCATCTCAAGATAACTCAAGATAACCATTATATGCCTTCATCAAACACCGATTCATCCCGCACCTTTTTTATTTTATTTATTTATTTATATAGAAGAGTTGTTACATTCTTGTACAGCCACCAGCACGCGAAGCGTTTCGGGCAGGTCCTTAATCCTATGGTCCCTGGAATACGACCCGCCAAATCGTTTAACAACCAGGTACCCATTTTACTGTTGGGCAAACAGAGGCTACAGTTAAGGATTGAAGCCCAGTAAATCCTCCCCGGCCAGGATACGAACCCAGGACAAAGCGCTCGCGAAACGCCAGGCGAGTGTCTTACCACTGCACCACGGGGACATGTATAAAATAATCTTCAAACTAGCAGTCAGATGACTCTATATGATAAAAAAACACCTCACGTAAAACAAAATAATTTACAAATAAAATATTAAATCCCACCAAACACACACCGAAACTACGACGTTGGTACAACGTTCGAGCAAGTTTTAACACCTCCTAACCAGTTATAACAACCAATATAGCAAGTTGTAACAACGTTCTAATACGTCATAAACACGTTAAGCCAAGATGTAACAACTTTATTTCAAGTTGTAACAAGCGGAAAATAGAGACAGTTTCGGTTTGTGTTTCCAGGGATAAATGTCACTCCTGACGAACTTAAGCTCGGACAGTTTTGGATGCGTCCAAGCGGGGAGGAAGAAGGGACGGGATACACTCAGAAATCAAAATAGCGTGATATATCAAATGAATAAATCCACAAAGCGATTAAGGCGCGTCTGGGATCATTCAGGACGTAAGTTCGAACCCTCATCACGGCCCTTGTGGATTTATTCAAGGGACGGGACTTGCTTGGAGACTGGCAGGAGAGCCATCCTTAAAGGACTTCACCATGAGACACACACTACGCAGAACTACCTATTATCGAAATCCACGAATGATTTGGAGTCAAGCCGCATAGCGACCTCGCCAGTTGTTGGGAAGTACCTTGATTCTATTTTGACCTCTCACTAAATAATTTCTGACCTGATAATATTAGTTAATGTCGATGCGGTTACGCGGCGCGAGAATTACCCTGAACATGTAAGCGACTCATTTACACCATAATATCCGGTGTCTTATCTGTAATAAGGTTGTTGTTGGTGCATGTTTTACCATGTCGAACACTTTATGTAGGGCATACGTAAATCTGTGTACCTATGCATTTACGTATGTAGGTTAGCTTAGCATTTTAAAAGCATCGAATCACCTTCTGTGGTTGATTGTTCAATGAACCCCTGAACTATGTGTTTAGCACATCTCTAACCCTGTCCATGGAGGACAGAAGAAAATGTATATATGCTAATTAACATTGTAAATGTGTGGCCACGTCTGTGGTAGAAAATAATAATAATAATAATAATAATAATAATAAAACATGTACCAATCCGGCAGGTAACCTGGGACGGCTAGAGACACATCCCTGGAAACACAAACCGTAACTGACCCTATTTTCCGCTTGTTACAACTTGTAATAAAGTTGTTTCATCTTGGCTTAACGTGTTTTTGATATATTAGAACCGTGTTACAACTTGTTATATTGGTTGTTATAACTTGTTAGGTGTTAAATCTTGCTCGAACGTTGTAGCAACGTCGTAGTTTCGCTGTGTTTGGTGGGATTGGCAAGAAATTACTTGGTTCAACACGGAGGTCGCCTTGACGCCATTATAGCCAGACCACGAGACGATGAGGCTTATTTGACCAAGACATCTTCATGGCCATGTAAACACGCTACAATCTACATAACAGCTAAGCTGCCAACCCGTTCTCGCACTTTCGTATAGCCAATATTGACTTATTAAATACGTGCATATGTGACATACTAATTTATTGTGAATATTTTAGTTTACCTTGAAAAGCTTCATAGAAAACACCGACCTTTCCTAACCTTCTTAGTATGTTAAGATAAGCATCTTACTGCTTCGTAATTACAATTATTACTTAACCTATTATAGGTATAGGTTAAGTAATAATTGTAATTACGAAGCAGTAAGATGCTTATCTTAACATACTAAGAAGGTTAGGTAAGGTCGGTGTTTTCTATGAAGCTTTTCAAGGTAAACTAAAATATTCACAATAAATTAGTATGTCACATATGCACGTATTTAATAAGTCAATATTGACTGTAAGAAAGTGCGAGAACGGGTTGCGTAGTCAACCAGGTCATGTGTAGTCAACCAGGTCATGTGTAGTCAACCAGGTCATGTGTAGTCAACCAGGTCATGTGTAGTCAACCAGGTCATGTGTAGTCAACCAGGTCATGTGTAGTCAACCAGGTCACGTGTGTAGTCAACCAGGTCACGTGTGTAGTCAACCAAGACATGTGTAGTCTACCAGGTCTTTGTGTAGTCAACCAGGTCACGTGTGTAGTCAACCAGGACATGTGTAGTCAACCAGGTCTTTGTGTAGTCAACCAGGTCACGTGTGTAGTCAACCAGGTCACGTGTGTAGTCAACCAGGTCACGTGTGTAGTCAACCAGGTCACGTGTGTAGTCAACCAGGTCACGTGTGTAGTCAACCAGGACATGTGTAGTCAACCAGGTCTTTGTGTAGTCAACCAGGTCTTTGTGTAGTCAACCAGGTCACGTGTGTAGTCAACCAGGTCACGTGTGTAGTCAACCAGGTCACGTGTGTAGTCAACCAGGTCACGTGTGTAGTCAACCAGGACATGTGTAGTCAACCAGGTCTTTGTGTAGTCAACCAGGTCACGTGTGTAGTCAACCAGGTCACGTGTGTAGTCAACCAGGTCACGTGTGTAGTCAACCAGGTCACGTGTGTAGTCAACCAGGTCACGTGTGTAGTCAACCAGGTCCCGTCACAGTTGACGACCACGCTCGGTCTAGTCGCTGTGGTAACTGTAGTGCCTGCCACCCGCCTGCTGCGACTCTTGTGATCACTATCAAGCCAAACAGTTCACTATCCACTTAAAATTTAAAGACATTTCCTATCGAAAAATGAATAAAACTCAATTTTCCTGACCTCCTCCCTTCCCTGCCTTATGCTGGAGCAGCGTCACCGGTTAACCTGCAGCTCCTTGCCTACTCCAAGTCACCCCTTGTACCGCCTCTCTCCGTCCAACCTCTCCTCCTACAAAGAACGTCGCATCTCGATCGTGTGCTTTACATAAAGCCAAAAATTGTCGTACTAGAACATGGAAGCGGCTCGCGAAAGTGACGTACTGTCCTGTTTTCTATTTTGAGTCTTCTGGTAAGTTAGGAGGGAGACACTTTACATTTATCGTTTTTTTGACGTTAGGAAAACTTAGGAGGATGGGCTGCTCCATTACCTGCCCCCCCCCTTCCCCACCAGGGTCGTGGCCCATACTAGCACCAGGGTCGTGGCCCATACTAGCACCAGGGTCGTGGCCCATACTAGCACCAGGGTCGTGGCCCACACTAGCACCAGGGTCGTGGCCCACACTAGCACCAGGGTCGTGGGCCACACTAGCACCAGGGTCGTGGCCCACACTAGCACCAGGGTCGTGGCCCACACTAGCACCAGGGTCGTGGCCCACACTAGCACCAGGGTCGTGGCCCACACTACCACCAGGGTCGTGGCCCACACTACCACCAGGGTCATGGCCCACACTAGCACCAGGGGTCGTGGCCCACACTAGCACCAGGGGTCGTGGCCCACACTAGCACCAGGGGTCGTGGCCCACACTAACACCAGGGTCGTGGCCACACTAGCACCAGGGTCGGCCCAGGTCCCCCCCCCCCCACCTGCAAGCGCCAGGTCCATTACTCTGAAAGTCTTGAAGTTATAACTCACTACACGTTAAAC